TTTAGAGTGGATGAATTAGTTCAAAGTTATTTGAGTAATCATCAAATACTTAAAGGGTGATCCAACATCCCGGCCTCGTTGAAAGGATCCGCTTTCAAGACACTGGCAGAATAGCAAGTTTATGTATAGGCCGACAGCAGGTACCATTGGCAGTACGGAGGTGCACAACTCGAACGTGACCACCTCGTCCAAGTACGGTGGACTCAACTCGACCAAGCTTCCAACGTTGTGGTGGCAGATTATCGTCGTGGATGATGACTAATGTGTCTTCTGTCAGGTTGGGTGCAGGAGTCGTCCATTTGACCCGTGCGCGCAATTCGTTGACGTAGTCCGCAGACCAGCGCCGCCAAAAGCGTTGCTTAATAGCCGTGATCATATCATACCGATCCAAGTTCGATATGTTGCGATCTTCCAGTGAGGGCTCGGGTAGAGCTCGTAACGAGGAACCGACCAAAAAATGCCCAGCAGTGAGTGCTTCGAAGTCGTTAGGATCTGATGACAGCTGGGAGAGTGGGCGCGAGTTTAGTATGGCTTCTATCTCCACGGCGACGGTGCTTAGTTCTTCAAAGGTTAACCTTGTATGAGCCAATGTGCGATATAGCAGTCCCTTTGCGCTTTTAACCGCTGCCTCCCAGAGGCCGCCGAAGTGGGGTGCCCTGGGGGGAATAAAATGGAAATTAATGAATTCGGAGGAACACAATTTTTTGATTTCATTTTGGATCTCATCGTTAAAGAGAAATTGCTTGAGGTCTTGTAGATGGTTGGATGCACCTTCAAAATTCGTGGCATTGTCACAAAAAATGTCACATGGCATTTTTCGCCGACCACCCATCCATTGGAGAGCGTTCAGGAACGCCTTCGTAGACAGATCCGAGACCACCTCGATGTGGACCGCTTTCGTGACAAGACAAACGAAAACAGCCAAGTATGATTTGGTAGGCAACTTTCCTCGGATTCGTAAGTAAGTATTTATTGGTCCGAAAAAATCCACTCCACAGCGTTGAAATGGTCGTGCTGGTTGGACACGCTCTTTTGGTAGCGGTCCCATGACTTGCTGCTGCAGTGTAGGCTTGTATCGGACGCAATGCACACACGACCGAACGACGCGACGAGCCACGTCTCTGGCGTTGATTATCCAATATTCAAGACGGATTAAAGCGACTAAAGCTTTGGGGCCTGCATGATAATTCCGAAGATGAAGATGACGTACATACGATGAAACAAATTGTGAATTGCTGGGTAGAAGAATCGGATGCTTTTGACTGTCTGGTAGGTCGGAGTAGTCAAGGCGACCACCAACCTTGATGAGCTCAAAGCCGGTCGAATCGTCTATAAATGGAGTGACAAATTTCAAAGTACTTTTTAAAGTTTGCTTTTTCTTTAGTAGCTGAAAGTCGACAGAAAAGTGCTGCTGTTGTACGTTCCATACTATGCAATGCGACGCGCGTCGCAATTCTTCAGGCGATGGTGAAGCTGTAGTGAATGTTGACTGCTTCCTGCACGAGTCGGAGAACCGAAATAGCCAGGCGACGAGACGTAAGCAATGAGGATAAGAACTAATGCCATTAATGACGTCAAGAATATGATTAGTTTCCTTAATTACTGTGAAAGCCGTTTTGCGTTTTTCTGCATTGATAATGTTCGCATCCAGATCAGCTAGAGCCTTGTTGTTTGGCCATTTGGACTGATCCTGAAGTAGGAAGGCTGGACCGGAAAACCAACTTGATGATTTGAGATCCGCAGTAGAGCAACCTCGAGATACAAGGTCTGCAGGATTATCGCGCGTTGGAACGTGTCTCCATTGTCCACCACCGGTCAACTCCTGTATGTCGGATACTCTATTTCCCACAAAAGTTGACAGCGTAATTGAATGCTGTTTCAGCCAATACAGCACCAATTGGGAATCAGTCCAAAAGTAACTGTTAATGGGTTTGTTAGCAAAGATATCCTTTACTTTGGCGTAAAGGCAAGCCAGAAGATGCGCACCACAAAGTTCGAGTTTAGGGAGCGACTGCTTTTTTACTGGGGCGACTCTCGACTTCGACGTCAACAACTGAACTACAACGTGACCGCGTAAGTCTTCAGTGCGTACATATACCGAGCAACCATAAGCCCGAATCGATGCGTCGCAAAACCCATGTAGTTGAATGTTGCGAGCGTTGAGCTGTAAGCAATAACGAGGTACCGTGAGTGATGAGATCGCATTTAAAGATATCAGGCAGTTTGTCCAAGCTTGCTGCAGATGTTGGGGAACGGACTCGTCCCAGTCGAGCTTCAATAGCCAAAGCTCTTACAGTATTATCTTGGCTGTGATAACCAGTGGTGATAACATGCCAAGCGGGTCAAACAGGGATGATGCGGTAGATAATATTGTCCGCTTTGTGACTGAAGTAGGTTCTTGTTTATGATTGAACGCGAAGGATAGGACGTCACTTCGTTGGTGCCATGTTATTCCTAATGCGCTGGTCACGTAATCGTCAGTGATACTGAGCTCCTTTGTGGCTTGACCTTCCATAAAGTCGGGGTGATTTGAGTGCCATTTCGATAGTGGAAATTGCCCGCGACGGAGTACTTCGACAACTTGATGCTTGAGGGTATATAGCTCATTCACATCTTCGGCACCGCATAACATATCGTCGACATAGAAAGATGATTTTATTGCTGAAGCGCCGATCGGAAGCTCTGCCATGTGTTGGTCCGGCAGATAGTGGAGGCTGCGTACTGCGAGAAATGGAGCCGAGGCTGTGCCATATGTGACCGTGTTCAGCTGGTACGTGCGGATATCTGAATCTGGGGAAGCTCGCCAAAGTACGCATTGGAATTGTCGAAAGTTATTATCTACAAGTACTTGCCTGTACATTTTAGCCACGTCTGCGGTGATGGCGTAACGATACAAACGAAAACGCAGTAGTAGCATGTATAAATCTTGTTGGATTGTTGGGCCTACCAGTAATAGGTCGTTTAATGAGGTTTGCGATGAGGTGCGACACGAGGCGTCAAACACAACTCGAAATTTCGTTGAGGTACTGCTAGGTTTTAGCACGCAATGATGTGGTATGTAGTAGTGTGGCTCCTTTAAGTTGGGTTGTGCTACTTCTGACATGTGGCCAAGACCTTCGTACTCTTCCATAAAGGCAATGTACTGCGGACGAATTTCGGGCGAACGTAGAAGGCGTCTCTCAAGCGCGAGGAATCGCCGGCGAGCAACATCGAAGGAGTCTCCGAGACAAATGGGGTCATCTTTAAAAGGCATACTTACTATTATGCGTCCAGTGTTATCTTGACGAACAGTTTTCATGAAAATCTCTTCGCACATGCGATGTTCCGGCTGAATCGATTTGGTTGGCGTACTGATGGCTTCTAGTTTCCATAGGCGTTGCAAGTTCTCGTCGATGGAGCTTTCATTTGACTACAGGCAAGATGATGCCGTCACATTACGCTCATTACGAAGCCTACCAGAGACAACCCAACCGAACAACGTCTTCTGGAGTGTAGCTAGGTTAGAACCCAGTCGAATTTGACCAACAGCAAGGGCGTCAAAAAATGCTTCTGTGCCTAACAACAAGTCGATGCGCCGGGGCTTGAAAAACGTTTCGTCTGCAAGTTTTGTATTAGCTGGCAAGTTCCAATCGGACGTGTCGATCTCGGTGTCTGGCTGGTATGCTATGTGCGAAGTGATTCCAAACTGTAGCGACAGTTGAAATGCTGAAGTGCCCGATTTGATAGTCGTAGTCGTACGTGACTTTAGATTGGTTAACGATTCACCAATACTGCGGACTCCCACATTGTGTTTCTCACGACGAAGACGAAGTTTTTGCGCGAAGTCACCGGTGATGAAGTTGAGTTGCGAGCATGAATCTAGTAGGGCTCTTCCCAACTTGTATGCACCTGTAACATCCTTGACTAGCACCAAAGCCGTTGCCAGAATAACTTGACCCTCTTCTGATGCTCCCATGTGCGAGTGGGTTGCTGCTGATTGCTGTGAACACGTTTGCCAAGTCGATCGATTAGATCCAGATGGCTGGGATGCAGATACAGTTGATTGTGTTATCTGAACAGTCTGGGATGCATTCTCATGATGCAGCAGCGTATGGTGTGCTCGATTGCAAGTGCGACAGCGGTTCTTCTAAGGGCATTGAGCCATTTTATGCCCGTTGCCTAAGCAATTTATACACAGGTCATACCTCTTGATGAGGTCAAAGCGTTGATTTGTATTCATATCCTTGAATTGTGAGCAACCGACAACTTTATGGTTGGAGCTGGAACAAAGAACACACGTGGGATTAGTGATAGCAAATGAGGAACTTTGGTTACGAATATTTAAGCGAGTTTGCTTGCCAGCTTCGGGTTTGCGTTGCGACGACGACTCAGATGAGTGCAAAAACTGGCAATGCCTTTCCAAGACTTTAGTGCATTGCGGCCAAGTCGGAAGCGAGTTATAATCAAGTGACTCGTTGCATTTGTTTTTGGTTTGCTGATCATATTTGCCCATTACAATGTAGATTAACATTGCTTGTGCGATGCTCGTA